GCATGAACCAATCTATTTGCTATTTCCTTCCGAGGATAGACCGATATACACAAAAAGTTCAACACATTTCCAAGTCGGTGCTTCACACTTTTGTTTAGTTTCACTCTCAGCGATCCTTGTAGGCGCAGATCTCAACTGTATTCCTTGCTCCTTCTTATCCTTTCATTTCTATGAAATAAAAGAACACACAATCCTCAATTTCAGGTTTTCAAATCGCTTTGTCTCGCTGAGCCTTTTTTTTTATAGTCATTTTGTAGGGGCACTTTTGTTGTTGTTGTTTTTTGGGTGGGCGGGGGTGGGTGGGGGATGTTGGAGGGGGGTAGTTTGGAGATCGGTCTTACAAGTTAATACTGTTGAGGAATTTCTAGGAAATACCGGAGAGATCAGGATTGGAACCACTGCTATAAATCAAACTTACCTGTCTTAACCATTTTCTCGAAGCTTTTTAAATTTATCCATTTAATCTTTTTCTTTTTTTCAAAAGGTATTTTTCCAAAGAGAGTGGGTCAGTCAACCATACGGCCGAAGATGTAACCAGAGATAGGCATTAGCAGACATAAAGCCCTAGCCATACTCAATAGACTTGTACGGTTATAAGACAGAGCATAGGTACAACCTGGCTATGTAGCTGCATTGTTAGCTTCAAAACTTAACTTTGGCTTTACGCCAACAGCGGACGGTACGACACGCCTTGATGGATGTGGTCTAATTGTATTGAGAGATCATTCCAAGATATGTTATATGTATAAATATACAGAGCCACAGGGTAAGGAACAGTTGAAGCAAACAATGGTGACAAGTAGGGGTGGTGGTGGTACAGGGTGTCATTTGAATTTGGGGGTGGGGGTGGAGGCACGGTGTGCTACAAGGAAGCTCATTCAGCTGACTTGCTATTCACAGTTGTTTCTTTTTAAAAAAATGGTAATGGGAAAAAACAATTGCCAGTTACCACAGGTGACTTTACCACATTGGTGGGTGCGAGAGCCAAACTGTTCGCGAGAGTTGACACAGACAAACACGTGAGTGGACACAGACAAACACAGGAGTGGACACGGGCTAACACAGGAGTTGACACAGACAAACACAAGATTGGACACAAAAATTACAAGAGTGGACAAAGACAAACAAAGGATTGGACACAGAAAAACACAGGTGTGAGTGCAGATAAACACAAGAGTGGACACAGACAAGTACAGACAGTGGACACAGAAAAAACGCAGGAGTAGACACAGACAAACACAGGAGTAGACACAGACAAACACAGGAGTGAGTGCAGACAAACACAGGACATGCAATATAAGTAAGCGGATTTATAGAACGTGAAATTTAAAAATAAATCATATCAACGGTGCATATGATATTTGAATGCATAGACACATATATGGAAGAGAAAATCATTCTCAAAATCTACCCACAATAAAACATGATTATTCCAACGTGTTTACCTGAGACTGATGCGTAAAGCAAAGATAGTGAACACAATGAATGTGTTAAAAATATGTTGGTTCCAGAATAATTGGGTTGAAACGATCGACACGATTATTGTCATCAAAAACCAACTTACATTGAGACATTTTGGCGACATTACACTATATTAAATGAAAACATATGTCAACATTGTATGGAACACATATACTTATTTGGGTACAAATCGACCGTTAGGTACTCAACTATACATCTGTGTTCAAGACTAAAAAATATATATTTCTAATTAAAACTGCCGCCTTTCATCTGTGGTGTGATGTTTCAGAACACACATTGCAGTCTTTCATCTGAGGTGTGATGTTTCAGAACACACATTGCAGTCTTTCATCTGAGGTGTGATGTTTCAGAACACACATTGCAGTCTTTCATCTGAGGTGTGATGTTTCAGAACACACATTGCAGTCTTTCATCTGTGGTGTGATGTTTCAGAACACACATTGCAGTCTTTCATCTGAGGTGTGATGTTTCAGAACAGACATTGCAGTCTTTCATCTGAGGTGTGATGTTTCAGAACACACATTGCAGTCTTTCATCTGTGGTGTGATGTTTCAGAACACACATTGCAGCTTTTCATCTGTGGTGTGATGTTTCAGAACACACATTGCAGCTTTTCATCTGTGGTGTGATGTTTCAGAACACACATTGCAGCTTTTCATCTGTGGTGTGATGTTTCAGAACACACATTGCAGTCTTTCATCTGTGGTGTGATGTTTCAGAACACACATTGCAGTTTTCATCTGTGGTGTGATGTTTCAGAACACACATTGCAGTCTTTCATCTGTGGTGTGATGTTTCAGAACACACATTGCAGTTTTCATCTGTGGTGTGATGTTTCAGAACACACATTGCAGTTTTCATCTGTGGTGTGATGTTTCAGAACACACATTGCAGTTTTCATCTGTGGTGTGATGTTTCAGAACACACATTGCAGCTTTTCATCTGTGGTGTGATGTTTCAGAACACACATTGCAGTCTTTCATCTGTGGTGTGATGTTTCAGATTGCAAATTGCAGTGTTTTATCTGTGGTATATCTGAATAAAAAAAAAGAATAGCCAGAACGTACAACGAAATCACTAAATGAATCAACAAGAACATAAAATAATGGAATTATTCATTAACTCTGCAGATGTAGGGCATTAACACTGAAACTTAAATTCTACATTTTTTTGTAACAAAATAGTGCAGTCCTATGAAAAACTTCTAATTTGGACAACGCATACCTCGTATTTTTATCCATGACTAAGAATCTGAGTGATGCTAGTGTTTGGTTAAGCCTGCTGAAAAATGCTTACAAAAGAACCAACCCATAGTTAGACGAAATGGCAACGTGAATATGCTTCACACGTACACCTATGACATACAATCCAATGCTTGGTGCACACATTGTGTCAACGTAGAACTAATATAACATAAACCATTTTCCCTCTTAAACATCAGACGGCTAGGACGGAAAAACGGGTTGGGGGGGGGGGGGTTCTTGGCACGGTGCCCCGCATCAGACAATGAAATTTCCTTCCCATAATTTACAGACGAACAATGTCATTCTCTTGTAATTCTCATCTCTAGCATTGCACATGGACATTCTTCATACAATTTTTCTGTTACTTATGGTAATACAAAAAAAAAAAAACAATCTTCCAAATTTATTGACTATCTTATATAACGCTCATTGTTCAAAACATTTCTTTGTAAATCTAGAATCAAAAGTGACACGTGGAACGCAAAATACATTAAAATTCACATTTAGTTTGACCTTTATATTAATTTTTCTTGCAATACATTGATGTATTAAACAAACGATAGTTTTATAGTAGTTATATGGACTTAGTGTAAGGTAATACTGGCAAACTGAACACAAAATCTAGAGGACACACGGAGCTGCGAGACAACCACCTAAACAGATCTAAATAACACAATTTAACATTGGTGGCACGACAGGATTTTACGACATCGCCGTTGTAACGTTTGAAATATAATACATGTGATGGAATTTTACGACTTGGAAACAACATTATGTTGTTGTTTTTCTGGAAGCACTGGGAAAAATTTTGAGCTCTTCTTTTTTATTGACATCTTTGTCTCGGATAAGTAGCCGCCTTAGTTTTATAGCTGTCGTCTGCCGCCGTTTCTGAATGGCACGTTGCGCTGTTGCCGAGATGTCTTAAAGACCTTGCTGCCGCCACTGCGGGACAGTGCTTGAAAAACGCGTGATGCGATCATTAGTACAACGCTAGGCTCTCCACGGCAGCCCAGAAAGAATAGTATTACGCTCTTTGTTAAAACTTGGTAAATTTTTTAGTTTTTTTTTTTTGAGGAAACGGATATATGCTATCAACGCTTTGAGGGTTTTACTACACGGATGTAATATTAACTATAGATATTTATCTTGTCTTCGTGCCGGCACGAGGGTCTGCGTGAGTCATTAATATGGTGCAGATGAAACTGTAACCGACGTGGCTATGACACTCTGTTGATTTTAGTGAGAGTGTGCTGTTAGGGGAATTGTCGATCCAGCTAACAAACAAGAGAAAAAAATGGAATTATGGTTTAACACATATAAAGGAGATGCTTAATATATATATATATATATATATATATATATATATATATATAAGACCTGGGTGGTTGGTATAGTGCGTATTTGTAGTGGCAAAGAATTCCATTGTTTGGGGGCGCAGAAAGAGAAAGATCGTTCATCATATGTTTTAGAGTTGTCAGGGTGGTAAACATAGGTTCATTCCGCAGAGGTTTTTAATGAAAGTTCGACTTTTCAAATAGAACATTGGCATCAGCTAAGTTATGTCAAGAATTGTGAAGACGCGTGTCCAGATTCAACTGTGAAACGCTGCACAATAGAACTTATCTTACACATGTTGCACATGTTATACATAAACACATTTTAAACACAATAATATACAAAAATATATGATCATTAGAGTGCGCAAAAACTGTTCACTGAAACATAGTAATGCAAATGTTAAAGACAGTTAAAATGTTTTAAATTTAGAGCACATTGATGCTAAAATGATAGCTATTCTAAATTTTAAAAACAGAAGTGACTTCAACTAAAACTATATAAAGTGGAAATAATTAACTGAAACTGGTTAGAATCAGAAATATCGATAACTGGTCAGTATAAGAAACATCTATAACTCGTAATTATCAGAAACACATAATTGGTCAGTACCAAAAACATTAATAAAATAAAATGATGTTGTTGTTGTTGTTCATTCAGAAGACTAATTTTACAAAAGTTCATTAGTTGTTTCAACGACAAGATTTGAGATTCCGTCCCTACGCGCGCAGGACGTTATCGAAATAAAACAAAATGACCAACAAAACCGCATGTCAGTCAGGAGATATCCCGACTCCACTCTTCTTCGAATGCTCGCCAAATAACGCATCGCGGCATTTCCTCGGTCTTCAGAGTAATGGCGACGGACGCTTATATCGGATCATCAACATAATCAGTCCGGCCCAGTTCTACGTCGTTCTCACGATCCTGCATAGAGGACTTGTCAACATTCTTTGTATTTGGGGGCTGTTTGGAAACGTCATCACGGTTATAGTTCTAATCAAACAGCAAATTAAAGGCACTATAACTATTCTCCTGACCTCTATCGCTGTTTTCGATATCGTTTTTTGTGTGACCCAGCTTCTCCAAGAAGCCATCATCATATTGAAAGAATATGACCCAGTGGCAGGAGGAAAATTTCTAATAATTTACATGCACGGAATCGTACAATGGAATCACCTGGCCCTGTCATCAAGTATTTACAGCGTCGCTATCATCGGCGTCGAACGGCTGATCGCAGTCTGCTTTCCGTTCCTCGTCGCCAGAATCTGTACGCCCTACAGAACCAAGTGTCTCATCGTTCTAACCGAGGTCTTCATCTTCACGTTCACGTTCCCGGAAAAGTTTTTATTTTACGAATTCAAGTGGCAAAACAACCAGACCGTGTATACGGCGAGAAGTTGGGCAAGATCCGCCAACACACACCTCATGTTCTACTGGGTGTATATCATGCCATTGGTTCAAGTCATCCTGCCGCTGTGTGTGCTGACGGCGTGCTACACGGTGATAGTGGTCATGTTGCGTTCTTCTTCCTCGAAAACATCGAAGCTGACGCCCAGCTACGCCAAGACGAGTAAAGCGAAGGAGCTTAAAATGTTCCGATTGCTGCTGGCCCTGATGACCTTTGCGTTGTTATCGTTCTCGCCATCGGTAATTTTTTCGCTGACGCTGTCCTACGGCGTGCTCTATGTCGATCTTGACCATTACAGTTTTGAGCTAGTTAAGATTCTGACCAAGGTCTGCTGTCATGTTTTCACCTCCGTGAATTTTATCCTCTACGTGACCATGTGCTCCAAATTTGCAAAATCGTATTCTGAGTTAATGAAATGTTGTCTCCCAGGACAACGACGGAACAGTGCAAAATGCAATGTGTATAGTAAAAATGTGTTGGGAAAGTAATTTAAAAATTTTTACATTCAAGAAATAAATAAATTTGGAATTTTACATGGCGTTTTTTGATTGACTTACACTTGATGTCTTAATCAGACTTTAAACGATTTAATTATATACTTTTAAAAAGCAATCTGATCCTCAGATATATAAACTTAAAAGATTGTTTAATATATATCTTCTTATTGCAGGGGGTCAAATCTGTAAGCATTATAATCTTAATGAAATAAGTAGTCACATCAGACAAATTTTAAAAAAATGATGTATGGAAAATTTTTAATAAAAAATAATTTGAAATTTTATGAGATCGACTGATGAAAAGCAAATGTGTCTATTATCATAAGTAAACTCCTTTTTTCATCAAAAGTAAAGTTCTCTTTAAAGAAAAGCTAACATTTATTAAAAGTTTATTTACTTCTTTTATAAAAAATAAATTAATTTTTTATCAAACAGAGACTTTTCTTCAATCTAGTGTAAATTTCTCTTTTATCTAAAAGAAAATTTATTATTTATGAAAAGTAAATACTTTTTTTTCAAAAGTAAATATTTTTTTTATCAAATGTTAATACATCTTTTACAAAAAGTAAATTTCTCTTTCATCAAAGTAAATTTCTTTCTTATCAAAAAGTAAATTTCTCTTTTACCAAAGTAAATTTCTCTCTTGTCATAAGTAAATTTCTCCTTTATCAAAAGTATTTTTTTAGCATTGAAACAAATACGTTTCCAGAGTTTAATCTTGTTGTCCAATATTCTCCAATTTCAAAATTTGTCAAAATGAAGCACTTCGCCTTTGTTAGATGATATTCTAGCTCAAAGTGGTCAATCTCTAAGTTTTTCAAGTCATACTTAGTTAAATTACTCGTCGGTTTTAAGGCGCTAAAATCTGAGGAAATCAACAACTTAAAACGAAGCCTTGCGAAAAGAACACAGCATGCTTTTAGTGGAAGTCAGCTGCAGCGTTGAATAGCCAACTATCCGGGGACTAGCAGTTAAAGTTGTGAAAATGATCGGATCTCTGCGGGATCACAGACTGTTTGACCTTCTGAGCAACAAGAGTCAGTTTAATGTTTATCTTTTCCCTATTTCTCTCTTTGAGCATCTAGCTCCAGTGGCTTGATTTCCACATCTTTTTCTAGCTCATTTGTTTAAGGTTTGTATCTTTTTTCTAGCTCCATGTGCTTGAGGTTTCTATTTTTGTCCAACTATATTTTCTTGAGCTCTCTATCTTTTCTATTATTTTCTAGATCCACTTGCTTGAGCTCTCTATATTTTCTAGATCCACTTGCTTGAGCTTTTGTTGGAGCTCTGTAAAATTATTCATTTCGTTCTTTGACCGAGGCAATATCATCTTCAGACAACAGATCTTCAGAAGACTCATCTTCAGACAACTGATCCTCAGAAAACTCCTCCACAGATAACTCATTTTCAGACAGCTTATCGTCGGACAAAAAACTATTTTTCAGACAAATCATCTTCATAAAACTCACTTTTAGACAACTCATCTTCAGACAACTCATCTTCTGACAGCTCATCTTCAGACAAGTCATCTTCAGACAACCCACCTTCAGGCAACCCATCTTCAGCAAACAGATCTTAAAAAACAGATCTTCAGACAATGGATCTTCAGACAAATGTTCTTCATCCTTTACATGGTCAATGATAAAACTTCCAACATTTTTTTTTATAAAGCAGAGTGAGTTATATTTATTCCAAACTCTTTCGAAATGCAAAATAATTTTTTTCCCGAGAATTTCTAATATCTCTACTGATGGGTAGAGAACATCCAAGTTAAATTTGAAAAAAAGAAAAAATTGTGTGAATATATTTATAAATTGACAGGCTTATTGAATTGTGTGAATATATTTATAAATTGACAGGCTGATTGAATTGTGTGAATATATTTATAAATTGACAGGCTTATTGAATTGTGTGAATATATTTATAAATTGACAGGCTGATTGAATTGTGTGAATATATTTATAAATTGACAGGCTTATTGAATTGTGTGAATATATTTATAAATTGACAGGCTGATTGAATTGTGTGAATATATTTATAAATTGACAGGCTTATTGAATTGTGTGAATATTTTTTTTTTTTTTTTTTTTTTTTAAAATTTTTTTTTTTTTTTTTTTTTTTTTGCATTTTATTTTAGCAAAATGTCTAAATTTAAATTTTAGTAGTTTTTTTTTTCACTGTATGTATATATAATTTCTATAAGATTTCGAGACCGACTCAATAATCCATGTTGATGAACAAGTTTGAAGCGTCACAACAAGCGAAACGTTTCTCATGATATGGACGAGTCATGAATATGTGCGTTGAAAAGCAATTTTTCCCCCCCAAATCTTCTGCTGACAAGCCTTACCATTAATAAATCGTTTATTAATAATGGAATGAAAAAGGTCGCTAAAACAAGACATGTCCTTTTGGACTTTTTTTTAAAATAAACAATTCTACGTTGGTACCTCCTAGTGTGTAGAGTTACTGGCGTCAAGACGTGTTAGACTGGCGGCGAACGCTCCGTGGTAAAGAAACAACCACAGGAAGCTAACTAACCAACCCACAAAATAACATCCACACACAAAAAAAAAATCGAATCACAAACAAATCAACCCACGAACAAACCAATCCACAAACAACAAACCAACAAACAAAAAGACAAATACAGGTTTAAAAAAACAAACCCATTATTTTAATATTTCTGTAAAGTCCGAGCCAGGTGATCCATCATTTCTCAATCTTTACATTTGAATCATTTTAAAAATCAATAAAAATCGTCAATGTCATGAAGAAACAAAATAGATTCCACATTTATTGAATCTGATACAAAAATATTCATCAGCAATTAATTTAAAGCTTGGCAGTCAGTTCAAGCCAGTTTGCCGTTTCAACAGCGACATTTCTTGCAATCACCGGCTGGGGCGACGTCCCGGTTGTTGTAGCGCTGTGGAAAGACATTATCGCAGTTATCATTTAATAGTTCTTTTATTCAATAAATGTACTACTTTTTCCAAAATATAATTGTCCATTAAAAATCCTGCATTTTAAACATTTTAGATTACACAGAATAGCTTAGCAATATTCTCAAATCACACAATGAATTTAGTAAGTGTTATATTTTTTCTTACCAAGTGAATTTCAAAACGCATTTTGGAAATTCAAAGTTAAGCAAAAGTTATATAAATTATCTATATCTATATATGTATATATATATATATATATATATATATATATATATATACATATATATATATGAAGTGATAGGGGAAATTATCGGGCGGAAGAGACCTGCTAAACTTGTAAAACACATTTTTGAAATAAAAAGATAAAAAAAAAATATATATATTATATATATATATATATATATATATATATATATATATATATATATATATATATATATATATATATATATGAAGTGATAGGGGAAATTATCGGGCGGAAGGGACCTGCTAAACTTGGATGGCATCTCCTCTAAGAGAAGACACAAGTTAAACCAGGGAGCTGGAGTCCCGCAGGCGGTATGACATTGGCATAACACAAATTATACCACTCCTGTGGCGTAGACAGCACAGTGGAACTCATGCGATAAACCTGCTGGCCATCTGTTGCTTTCCGGTAATATTTCCAGTCGGCTTGACTAAGTCTTGCCGTCAGATCAAAAAGGGAAAAGCCAGGCGATGAACTGAGCAACTCTACCTCACTTTGAAAACCAAAAAAACAACAACAAAAAACAGCACAAATCTAGGCAAGTCTCAAGCCTAAACTGTTTAACTAAACTTGTATCGTAACTCACCTCCCAGCTCCTGATCATTACAACTTATCAAAATGGCGGTAACTAGTTGTGTCTCGTTAAGAATCCAACAGAAGATACGAACAAAAATGTCTTCAGTGTCTGATGTTTCTTCCTCCTTTCAATAAACAAATCTTAAAGATAAGCAACGTGATCTACCAACAAAGAGTGGTAGAATTATCGTCGCAGATCTCAGCCGAGCTTTCCTACCCCTCCCCCCCCCCCCCCCCCCCCCCCCCCCCCCCCCCCCCCC